ATTCATGGCTGAAGTGACAAGGTCAGTTAAGGAGGGAAAGCCCACCAAGGAGTGCCTAAAGTATATGTCATGAGTTAAGTCAAGACATATACAAGACATATGAAACTTAGAATGCTTCAAAATGCACTCAGTGTTCTGAGGATTAAGTTGAACCTCAGCTGCTTAAGAATTAACAAAATAACTGATGTTTTTTATGCTTTGTATTTCTCATGAACAAAGAGTTGAGAAAAATATCACTTTATTAACTGTAACTGTAAATATTGTAACCCAAGTTTCTCTGTTTACATATTGCTCATAACCATAGAGTCCAGTTTCAGTGCTTTCAATAATGGTTTGCCTCATTTAAGTCTGATGAACTTATAATCATATGGAGGCAAAACATAAGTTTAAAGTATTAATTATTTGATTAAATAATACTGAGTATTTGATATGGTTCCACTAACATGGTGTCTAAAACTTGAGTCAGCCTGACACATCCAGCCATTTTTTTCTACTCTGTGTTTGAACGGCCAACAACATTTCCATGTAACAACAGTTAAGCAATTTCGATAGTCGAAATAAACCAGTGACTTTCTGTATTCAGTGTTGCCTAATGCCAAACGAATTCCTGTAGCCATAGTGGAATTTTGCTTGCAGACACTCTGCTTTTTCATTGTAGGTCATCACTCCTTTTTTGTCCTCACTGACAATGAGCTTGCTTTGTCCCTTTCCTTCGCCTAGCTGCTTGATAAATTCACCACAGTCTTCAAATTGGTCAAATAAATGACATAGCCTTCTCAGACAGAAAAAAGTAATTTTAACTGACCCTGGCTTCTCTTCAACTTCCACACCATACCTTGTTCTGCCAAGAATCTCTTTTTGTAAAAGGTTAAAAACCCCTCGTGCCATGGGGAGATCGAAAACGACCATCAATGGGTGGAATTTACTCATCCTTGGAGACAGCCGGCGATCAATGGGAGAATTCACCCGGATTATACAATGCTCTAGCTTTGGATATAGTTCACCAAGTTTATGTTTAGGTCGCTCTCGAATCCCTTCAAAGTTTTCTTTCACAGCTAACTCAGAAATCTGGTTAAGTCGGTTGAATGTGATGTCCAGATCTCTTAGTTTATGTCCATTAGCAATTCTTCGCTGGAATGCTGACTTCTTATGCCTAAGAGCCTCTTTGATTGAATATATCAGTTCCTCTTCGGTGTGTTCCACCATCTTGGATTTAGTTAAACTTAACCCCAGGTTATGCGCGGGCAAATTGAAAGTTGGCCCGATTGCGAGCAATAATTTCCAAGCGTGAACATTTTGTCCTGAATTCCATTTTAACCTGTCACAAAAACAACTCACTCAACAGGCAACCAACAAGACAAGGAAACCAAGAGTAACTCCTGCTAGATTACACCACAGTAAGCTAAGCTTAAAACATCACGCTCTACTAAAGAGAAACACTTACTTGCAGAGTCAAGCCTCTCAATCTTCTGCTCCTGTTTTACCTCGTGAACCTACAGCTGTCACCATCAAACAACTTCGCAAGGATCCAACCTTATCTGCACACTTCTCTGAAGAAATCGAGTGGCTCGGATCAACCTCGAGTGAGTCTGAGGATGAGGGCAAGGAACAAAAAAGTCCTCATGGCGCACAAGGTAGGGATAAACTGAAGTCTGGGAAAACTGCTAAATTGACGAGCTGAGTGCCTGCTCCACAGCATTGGCCTCATAGTCATATGAGTTTAGTGTATGTCAACAAGGACCAGAAATATGATGAGCTAACCTTGGCCAATTTATTACTGGGTACACCTAAATGTTGCTGTAAAAAACCATCTCAGAGGATGAATGGGCTGCCTGCAATGTCACCTTGTGGTGCTTATGTATCTTGTCAATACCACAAAGCAGAAACAATATAATACATCTAAATATGCAACAGCGACACATCACAGCTTGGCAAACTTGACAGTTTTAGTCGTCACAATTTTTTTAAAACCACCATGGTGACCAAAATAATTTCGTAGGTAAAAAAAGCTATTGAGATTGGTTGAACAGCCAGTGTACCCTAATGCACTTTATGAGAATAGTCACTATAAAAGTTCTGATGTTCACGCAATGTTAAAAAAAGAGATCATGGCAAAAGCCGGTGCAGAAAAATAGAGGAAGAAATGTCTACGTGACAGACATATACAAGATTGCTTTTGGGATGAAGCTGAATACCATTTTAAAAGGAAGGCAATATTGCATTCATCGCTAACACTGCCTAGTATTAAAAGACAAAGTTATGAAGAATTTTTAAAATTGTACCAAAAAAATGAGCCGAAAAAACTTGCAAACCAAAGATACAAGGTCAGTGATTCAAAGCTCATTTGAAAAGAAAGTTATTTTGGCCTGAGTAAAAACCAAATCCTTGCTACGAATATTAAAAACTTTCTTGCATTCTTTTTGTCTTCAATTTGTTAATTTATCCTTCTTAAAATAACTTGGGTTTTTCAGAAGCAAAAATCCCGGTATTTGAATGCCATTTCACATTGCTTTACATACAGCAGGCTGACAGTTGATGGTACAGTGACCTCATCACCAAAATGTCTCACAGCAATAGTATGTTATGGTACCTTAACGATGGTGTTCCGCTGCACGCACTTCTAGTGTGAAATAAAGATGAGCTGGACAGAAGGCCTGGAGATCAACAGGAAGAAGGCAGTAGCACCGAAGAAGAAAGTTGTAGTTAAGAAAGTGAACGAGGAGATAAGGATTGTGAGAGTTCAAACGAAGAAGGGGCGGGGAACAGAGGGGATGAAGGCAGCTGTAGCAAGAACAAAGGAGTTTCCAAGAAAGATGAAAGGGCGGACAAAGGAGGGAAGGAAGGAAGCTGTAGCGAGAGAGGACAGACTTCCGAGAACGATGAAGGGTGGACAAAAGAGGACAGGAAGGATTTCCCATGTCTGCCATCAACATCACTCATCTTCAGCTTTGAAATAACATCTAAAACTCTACATATCAGCTGCTGTATTGTTATGTTGACTACTTTTTATTATGTTCAAGGTGATTCCCTTTCCCTGCCTCAAATAGCATTTTATTGGTAATTTGCAGGGCAACTGTATTTAGATTTAATATTTGTGAATAAAAGTGTTGTTTTATTCTGAAGAATATTTCAAGATTGACCTGGCTGAAAAGAGGTGGCAGCTGCAAGTGGCAGAGGCAGCCATGGCAGTAAACTAAGGAGCTCGGGTTGCAAAAGAACTATTTCTGATCTGAAACAGTACAAAAGAGGGTGGTGTAAAACTGTGAACGTCTTTTCCTCGAAAATAATATATTTCAGTCCTGGCTTGGTGTAAAACAACAAGCAGGATATGAAGGTTCTAGTGACAGTGATTTTGCGGCACATTTGTTATCTCTTGAATATCCGGGAAGGTAAGTTTTCCTTTTCTTTGCCTGATGATTTAACCATTAAAGGTTTTTTTTTCAATGAGTTATATTTATGATTGTATCTTACATATATTTTTGGTGGGGAATTCAGGATACTACGTCAGCTAAATAAAGTGCTAGTTGCAGTTGTTGTAATACTGTTGAACAATTTAAAGAGTTTTAGAAAAGAAACATTTTTTCAGTTTTTTTTCGCAACTTCTCCTATTGAGAAGGTATTGAAAATGCATTTTAACCTTGCCACTTTAAGCACCTGTAGAAGTCACTCTCCCTTTTTATCTTCATCTGAAAAGCATTGTTTTATTGTGTAAAGACACTAATTTTATTAAAGTGATGGTGTCATAAGTTGCACACACTCTTCTACAGCATTTCATCTCTTCAACTTTCGCTAACTAATGGCAAGAAAACAGACGATCTGAATGGAATGATGTCATTGAATACAATTGTTTCTCTATAAGAGTTTGTTTTTCTTTTTAGAGGGTTGGCTGGGGGTGGGTTCTCTTTCATGAGGACATCAGCTTTTTGAAGCCTACTGTTTGCCATGGTGTCAGTAATACAGAGCCCACAGAACAATTGCTATCCATAAAATGGACAACCTAGAAAATCGCCAATAGAAGCAGGTTTACTTAATTGTATTGTTTTTCGGTACTAGATATAGCTAATTTTCTGAATTCGTAGTGGGTAACATTTTGATTTCCTATTACTTGTGCAAAGTCCAGTACATGTATGTACTGTTACCCAGTGATTTTACTGTGTTTCTACAGTGCTATCATTGTCAGTGTTCAGGTCACACACTAGATTTATGGTATTATATTTTCCTTAATGGCTTAATATAATTGACGGATCGCCCTTCTCATGGCTACACGGCAGCCTTACACAAAGGTCACAATTCCAATGACCATGAGGAAATTACAAGAGTTGCAAAAAAAAAGGCCAAGAAAAGTTAACAATTTAACATATTCCCCATATGGAATTTCTGTGTTATTCAGACTGAATTGGTTTCAAGGTAGTTCGAAGGATGAATATATCCACTGCCTTATAAAGTTTCCTTGACTTTTGCTTTTGCTTTTTCAGAAGTTGAGTACAGATGACCTTTTTAAATTGGAAACTTTTTAGCAGCTGAGGGTCTCCACTGAACTGTTAATCAATTGACGTGGATTATCATTTTACCTCCTAAAAACATCTTATTGTGCAGTATAATGCAAACTATAGTGACCAAGTGCCCAAAAAGGGGACTGGAAACCAGAATTTATTTAGTACTAAGAAATAATTCTGTTTTTGGGAGGGAGAGAAAGAAATCCCATAGACAGAATGTTTGCAAAAAAATTGAAGTGTGGATTTCTTTGAAACAATGTATACGATTTCATCCAATCCTCAAAATTTGAATCCAGGTCGTGTGGCTGGTTTCTAAGAACCACGCCCTGGGGGGAGGGGGTCCTCTGGAATTCGTTATGATATGTTGCCATTTCATCTCTATATCAGGAAAAGAGGAATTTGAGTGCCGCGACTGCCAGCAACCACGCAAGCAGTCTGCAATACCTACTCAAGTATTACCATTGAGAAAGGGGACCAAAATTCGAAGGTTTCCGCATTATCTCCAAGCTCAGAACAGCTACTGTACTTCAGAAGCAGGGGTTGGTGGAGAGAGCAACTGCAGTTGAAGAGCCCAAAACAAGTGGTTGGATTGGTAAGTGTGTTAGTATAAAGAAGAACAGAGGACAAAGCAAAACAGAAAAAGAAAACAAATAAATAAGTAAATAAATGACTGGCATCCCCTAGTTGATGAGAGTAAGAAAGTAGCTGTGTTACCAAGGCTAGCACCCAAACCGTATTTTTCCAAGTGGAATGCATTGGAAAGCTTCAAACAACAACACAAAGATCTCAACACTTTCACATCAGCCTCTTTTAATGAGTAATGACCTACTGGCTTGTTAAAATATCACGTCTCCCTACTTTCTCTTAAGGGATGAAGTCCTCCACGCTAGAAAAGCCCAGTGGAGCCGCTTTGAACTGGCCAAAGACAAACAACAACGCTCTCAGGAAGCCTGTGACCTGCTGCTTTTGTCACTGTACACCCACCTCCCAACCAGCAGGGGCCTAGAAGTCACGCAATGGAGTTAGTTCTGGGAAGTGAACTTAAAGTGGTGTTTAAGCAAGTGCACTATCATGACAGAAATTTTGCCCTGATTAAGAAAGAAGGCGGCATAATGCTACACCTGGGAACGTTGACAAAAGCCAAGCACACTGGGCATAAAACAATTCCAATACAGGTAATTCTTATCATTACTTCATCGAGTTATGTAAACAGAAGCACAGTTTGCTGTGGCATATTTCCCTAATGACAAATTGCATTACCCCGTTCCTTCCCTATCAAAGTCCAAATAACTTGATAGCTATGATCAATGACCAGGGAAAGATAAAGGTGTGAGGAAAGCAAAAAGCTCGCAGCACATGTCTGAATCAACAATGATGAGAACAGCAGTCTATTTAACAGATCCACGGGATGGCTCTTTTCCAGTCAAATAACATTATTTGCCATTAAAAGTAAATTAAATTACAGTACTTCAAGTAATTTTTCTGTTTCTCCCCGCAGCTAGACAGCCAACTCTGCAGGCTGTTCAAACAGTTTGTATCAGAATTCAAAAGGGCGCTTAACCCAGAGCTAGGCGGCAAGTACGTGTTTCTGGTAAGTATCTGTGTTAGCAGCTAAAGCTCAGCAAAATTGTCCAGCTTGGTGAAATAGCACTTGAAACTTCATTACCAATTTTTGGGCCAAAAAGGACTCTTAAGAACTGTAGGTCACAGTAATGAGGGGTAAAACATTGAGTGACGAGCTCTGTTGTTTCATTCTCCCCTATTTCAATTCAGAATTCGAAAGGTAAACTGCACTCAAGTTCCTAATTCACAGCACATTTACAGAAAATGTTTCAGCAACTGACCGGAAACAAGGTCGCAAGCTGTGAACTAAGGTCATCTTTTGTAACCTAGGCATATTCCCAGAGGTAGGACCCCATCACTATTGAACTGCACGTCACCACAAAAGTCGCAGGTCTCTGAGACCAGCCAGTAACATCACCAGACTGAGCCCTGGAGATTTCACCATTCCCCATGAATTTGGGAATCTGTTGCTTTACAACACTATAGCCACATTGCTGATGACTGTCTGTTCTTTCCTGTCTCCAGCGAATGTGATGACCACATGAAAGACAGCCTTGGCGCTTGCCTCCGACACTTCTGACAGCAAACCCAAATGACCTATGACCGACCCACAGCAAACGAGAGGAACACCATGGCACTAGAGTTGGCAAAGCGGAAGGCCGAAGAAGGGCCAGATGACCTCGCGCCTGTCAGGCCCAGCCACGGACCAGCCACCGCAAAACTGGAGATCAGTGTTGGGACTTTGTGGGAGTCGTGGTTGAGGACAGCCTGTACAGAAGACTAGAATTTTCCTGAGATGTGTTCTGGCATTCCTGTCAGAAGACAAGGTCCTTCTTCTGTGGTACAGGAACACTGGAGGTGGGATCTATACCCCGGACTTGGATGGTGGCCAGTGGGTGGAGTCTAAAGAGTTGCTGGTCGCTGTGAAGTTTGCTCCTGGCAAAGGGCGTGCTTAAGACCAGCGACTCCTTACTAGCTTGCGCACGATACACAAAGCAGTCACGGACGGGAAGCAGGAATCCTAAGTTGCAACCCGGAAAAGGAAAACCAAAACAAAATGAGAACTGTAAGACCAGTCTTTTTAACTAACACAGAAATGTATGATAAAGGAGGAAAATGATATTTCTCAAGGAGATTTTTTTTAAAATATATTTATTGATAATCACATTGAATAATTACATTTACAATACTACAAAAAAAACACTTTAACAATAGACATTAACAGAGTAAAGCAAAATTAACTGGAGATTTTTGGTAGCTAGAGGTTGTCAGCCACTAATATCAATTGTCACCCGAGCAGGTTTCTGCCCTAAGAGTGTGTAAAATTAAAGTGTGAAAGGAATGTCCTGTGTCGGTCAGTTAACTGTTGTCCGGAGAGAATGACCACCATGACCAAGAGAAATGGCCCTTGGGATAATTTCCCGTACATGTACTTCCCCTGGCTTAATAGAATCAAGCCGGGTTACCAAAAAATTTTCACCTGAATTTCATTTTAACCTGTCACAAAAAAAAACTCGCTCGACAGGCAACCAACAAGAGAAGGAAACCAAAAGTAACTCCTGCTAGATTACACCACAGTAAGCTAAGTTTTAAACTTCATGCTCTACGAAAGAGAATCACTTACTTGCAGAGTCACTCCTCTCACTCTTCTTTGGCTCCTGTGTTACGTCGTGAGCCTACAGCTGTCACCATCAAACAACTTTGCAAGAATCCAACCTTATCTGCACACTTTTCTGAAGAAATTGAGTGGCTGGGATCAACCGCGAGCGAGTCTGAGGATGAGGGCAAGGAACAAAAAAGTTCTCATGGGGCACAAGGTAAGGATAAACAAAAGTCCGTGAAAACTGCTAAATTGATGAGCTGAGTGCCTGCTCCACAGCGTGGGCCTCATAGTCATATGAGTTTCGTGTATGTCAACAATGACCGGAATTATGATGAGCTAACCTTGGCCAAATTCATTACTGGGTACACCTCAATTTTGCAGTTAAAGAACATCTCAGAGGATGAACAGGCTGCCCGCAATAATCACCTTGCCGTGCTTATGTATCTTGTCACCCAGTTTTCCTGGGCTACAGTTCGAGGATTTCATGCCGCCATTCTGTTGAAGATAGTGTGGTCAGGTTCGTTGGAGTGATAGTTTTACTTACTTGGAATCTTGCTTGCTTCAGCCTAAACCTTCAAGAAACAACAGTTCCTCACAACTATCTAATGCAGTTTTGTTTTCTCATGACTTTCAACATGGCAAGTATCTGCATACTAAAGATCATTACTGAACAACTTACAATAAGAGAAAGTGGTTGCAGCATATTTGTGCGAAATGCTGGACCTTGCTCGTTTAACAGTATTAATCATTATAGTTTGAGAAATAAGACTCATGGTCATTAATGCTTAAAACATTAGAAGATTACTCATTTTCAGATCATGCTCCAGGTAGCTTGAAGTTATTTACCAGCTTGATACTCCTTGTAAACTTGGGAAGTCGAAGAGCAATTGCTCTTCTCTTTGTCATGTTAAGTGCCTGCCGTGTCAAAAAACTTCAAGAGTTCATGAAGTTCTGTGTCCAAGTTAGCCGTAATAGCTACAAGATCATAACATTTGAAGGTCTGCTGCATGCTCACACTTCTTTACCATCGGCACATGTGGGAACGATCTGATCTGACAACTGTCTTTTTGATATTGTGTGCTCTTATTAGAGCCAACTATTTGCAAATATGTCTAGACCTGACTGACATATCTGAATATCACATTGCCCACAATAACCTGTTCCTACAATACCTGAAATCCACCAGCTAAAAATATCCTGCTTCTTTACCTGGCCCTGTGTCAATAAATTCCAGGAAGAAGTATATCAATTGATTTATAAGAAGTATGTGCTTGTGCTCTAAATAAAGTCCAAAACAAGAAGAGTTGTAAGCAAATTTATAGAAATTATATGCACTGTTAGACACTCCTCTGACCAATATATTATTGGTCAATATTCAACATGTAACTATTTAATGTATATGAATGAATCGGTAATGTGATCGAAGTAATCCATATATGTGACCCATGAAGACAATATTTTAAGTTGCAGGAAAAAACACGGTCATTAAACAAGTGATCTTCAATTAAAAAACTTTTTATCACGACAAGTGTTTTTAGAAAGGCCCTGTCTATATTTAGCATATCAGTTTTTACAACAGCAACTTGCTGAAGTCATGAAAAAAAAATTATTTTTTTGAGAAAAAACAGGATCAAATCCCAGATCAAAACAAAGAATTTACTGTTGCCAACACACAGTTAAATTAACCTAATAACAGTCTGGGCCCATTTCCTCAAACGCTGGATAAATTTAACCCATGATTAGGTCAAATTACTTACTCCCATTATTCTTTTAATGTTAATTGAGATTGCACCGCCCCATATGCGTAATACCACAGATTGCCTTGCCCATGTCAACAACCAATGTAAGTACATATTTGTGAAATGTGTAGTTTCTTCCGAATGACTTTCTATTGCTGGAATTTGCCTTTGCACACAATGTATATTGGTTTGTGCCTAGGCACCCTCAGTAGCATCAACATGTTGAAATAGTTTGTATTGTACTGTGAATATTTCCATTCCCTGAAATCTAAGCTTAACTTTGCTCAAATGCCCCTTCTGCCATCTGAAAAGAATATAAAATGGTCACAAGACAAAACATATTGGTCATCTTAGAAGAAAAATAGTAAGATATTATTGCAATTGATGCTTTTTGTTTCGAAGCAAAAGAATTACCATAATGCCCATCATAACAACCACAGTTGACTGTAGAGCTACATGCCACATACCCCACAGTTTTCTAATAACATGACAAAGTGGAGAACTGTGAAGAAAATTGATGTTTTATCATCTTCCTTTAAAGAAGACCAGAAACAATATAATACATCTAAACATGCAACAGCGGAACATCACAGTTCGGCAAAGTTGACAGTTTTAGTCGCCACAGTTTTTTAAAATCACCATGGTGACCAAAATAATTTGGTAGGTGAAACAAGTTATTGAGATTGGAGGAACAGACAGTCTACCCTGCGTGGTTAGCCATCCTGCACTTTATCAGAATAGCCCCTATCAAAGTTCCGATGTTCACGCAATGTTAAAAAATGGGAATAATGGCAAAAGCCAGTACACAAAAATAGAGGGAAGAAACGTCCGAGTGACATATACAAGATTGCTTTTGGGATGAAGCTGGATTTAAAGGTAGGGAATGCTCACTCCAGTGGCAATATTGCATTCATCCCTAACACTGCGTAGTTTTAAAACACAAAGTTATGCAGAATTTGTAAAACTGTAACCAAAAAATGAGGCAAAAAAACTTGCAAACCAAAGATACAAGGTCAGTGTTTCAAAGCTCATTTGAAAAGAAAGTTATTTTGGCCTGAGTAAAAACCAAATGCTAGCTACGTATATTAGGAACTTTCTCGCTTTCTTTGTCTTCAACTTGTTAATTCATCCTTCCTAAAATAACTTAGGTTTTTCAGAAGCAAAAATCTCGGTATTTGAATGTCATTTCACATTGCTTTACATACAGCAGGCGAACAGTTGATGGTACAGTGACATCATCAGTAGTTGTAGTCGCTACTTGGTGGCAGGACCAATCAGAATCGAGTATTCAAACACGTGACTGAATTAATTAACTCTCAACCAATCAGGATTTCATGGGGGTTAGTACTACATGTAAAACCATCACGAAAAGTCTCCCAACATTCTCCCGTCATGTAAGACACACGAAAAGTCACGTTTCAACCAATTTTATTCTGACGTCATACCTAGCGTTACAATCGGGACGTGTGTGACCTTTTGATGTCACGCCCTTGTGTTAAAACAGATACGTAAAATTAATAAAATTAATATAGATTGGTGCTCTGTATAGTTCATTACATCGTTGTATAAATTTACGTTTAGTTTTCCAATTGCTCCATCTACTTCTTGTGGAACACCAACATAATTTGACCAGAGACGGGGAATACACGTGACATTGGTGAATCTTAATGTTGAATGACAGTTCTAAAAAAAAAAAGAAATTGACTTAATGTTCAGAGATTTCCAAAACGAAATTGATCTATAAATTGATCGTGAAGTTCATGACAACGTTTTAGATAAGGTTTTATATCAAAGTTTACAAAACCGTTGTTGTCACACGTGGAACACCAACAAAGTTTAACAAGAGACGGTCTATGTCCATGACAACCGTGGGCAATTAGTGGAACGAGGATATCTGTAAAACAAATTGCAATGTTTTATGAAAAAGTCCGGTCATAAAAAAAGAAATTGAACCGCAGTAATTAATGCTGGCGAATAATGATTGAGTTCTCTACATCGTCTAACAAAAGCACGCCTTTGAGTCGGTTTCCACTGTCTCCAACCCCCTTTTGTAGAACACCAACATAATTTGACCAAAGATGGACGATAGTCGTGACATGTATGAACTTGAATGTCAAATGATATGTCTAGAAAAAACCAAGAGGATTGGTGAATTCTTGGCAACGTTTTTTAGTAGGGTTAGCTAGGTGTTACATTGTTTAAAACCATTGTAAACACAATTTCCTTTACATTTTTTAAAACCATCATAAACACAATATGAAATATAATTGCTTGTTGAGCACCAACAGAGACGGTTTATGATCATGACAACGGTGAACAATCAGTGGCACGAAGAATTCTGTACTAAAAATGAAAAACGTAATTTGATTTTTAATAATGGTGACATACATAACGCAGGTAACTAAATTTGGAAAGTGATGAAAGTATAAGTGGATTTCGATGGTACATTAAATGTCTTTTATTTGGCCATGTGATGTAATGATTAATCCCTGAAATAGACCATGGAAAAGAAGACCTCTCCTTCATGCACTGTTTTCAAAAACCCATCTGAAAAAAAGTTACCAATTGTGAAAAAGATTATATCGATTTCTTTTCCAGTGTTTGTGTATTTTGGAGGACAAGAACAAATGTCTTCGTTTTGGCCAATAAAGGTAATGACTTATGCCTGTCACGGTTCATGGAAACATACACCAATCTCTTTTTCGAACTATGTTGAAAAATCCCTCTGTGAAAAAAAGATTACAAATCCACAATGACTACCTTGACTTGTGTACAGTTTATGGTTTTATAAAAAACTAAAAAGGTGTCCTCTAATGACACTGGTGAATTGTATTTTCGAAAACGAATGAGTTTTTATGGTTCCAGAGGGGTACTTGTCAGCACAGTCCAGTGATTTATGTAGTTATCCGTTAAATCTATGAAAATTAAAACTTCGCTTGTTTAATAAAAGGGGAAAGATCTGTCTTGATAGGTACAACGTGGATGCCCGGCATCAAAAGGTTTAGTTAAGAGGCCAATTTCGAAATGTAGGATAATAGTTCAAAACATGATCGGTTTCTAAAAAATGAATAAACACAGTTCTGTTAATTAAAAAATTAAGGATAATCATCCAGGGTCGACCACCATGCTCCATACATACAAGGACAGCAGAAAGATTTCTGTCCTTGAGGGGTAAACACCAGTTGCCAGGTATCACGACGGAAATTTGTCCTTCATAAGGCCAATTGGGAAACATAAAGTAGTGAGATAAAACGTGAATCGATTCTAAAAAAAATAAGTGTTTTTAATCGTCTAACATAAAATCAAGAAAGTCTTCAAAACAATAAAGTTCACATCCTCCACAGGGTTGACAGGTCATGGTTATAGGTCTGACGTGAATACCACAGTCTTTACATTGCATTCGTAATTTGCCATCCCTTGTGTGGTAATTGATTTCACTGTTGTTTATGACAAGGTTGGAGACTGAAAAAGGAAACGGTACTTTTTTAAGACGCATTCTTTTACATGATGTGTCGAAACCCAATGGATTGTGACAGCAAAAAAATTAAAAATTAAAAGTATGTGTACGCTGTTCTGTTGTCATTATGTCCTACGAAACACTCTATGATGTGAAACGTGTCTGCAAAAGAATCAGTAACGTAAATGGGGCGGGGTGAGTTTCACACATAATTGCGTCCCTGTCTTGTGTTTCCCCAGAGTTCCATTCTTTTAACCAAGATATTCATTGGCACTGAAAAAGTCAAAACATTTATAATTCTAAACCAAGGTCCATCATCATCTGGCATCCACCGCATGAAATATCCATGTCATAAATAGAACGAACATGTGCATAGCAAATACAACAGCGTAATTGAATCGTTTGAATGTTGTCCTCAACGTGGTACCAAGAATAAGGAGCAATAAATCTTTTATGAAATCTGTTTTGACTGCAAACAATGTGAGTTCCTGTATAATTGAGAAAAACGAAGTTTTAGCCTTCACACGAAAAACAAGATCCGTATTCCCTAATGGACGATATTTGGCTGGTGATGGTGATGTTGCATTGTCGACATCTTAAAAACACCATCTTTACGGGATAAAATTGAGGAAAAGTATGGACTACCCATCTTTTAATAAAACCACCGTACCAGACATTCGACGTTTGTGGATCGCAAAATCCAGCGCTCTGGCTAATGGATGGTCCACATGAAACGATCTGGATATCAGCTCCAATCCTTCGAGGGAGAATGGACTCATTAACTCGTCGACTATTTTCTTTGTCATGTGTGGATTGCCTGGTTGGTCCTCAGCATACTGCATGAGTTGGTGCGGCGTCAGCGACTGTAATATCTCGTCCAAGATGCATTGAAAAAACGGCTGTTTTAGAATGGTCGCAAACGGAAAGTCGTAAAGAAAATGGACTTGATCCTGCAGCGTCATGTTCTTGCCAGAGAGAACGGCGAGTGAAGGGATTTGGTTTTCCATGCTGTCAAATGCAAGAATGGTGCTGTGGTGAGTAAGCGAACTCTTTTGTATAGTCAAGTATTGCACCATCAGGATGAAACGGTATTGCACCATCATTCTAGCGCTTTTGGGCCATTGGGAATGAGCGCTCTATGAATACTGTATATTATTATTATTATTATTATTCTAGGAAAACCCATTGTCAAAACAGATGACCCGAAGAGGTTATTGCACAACGACATTAGTTCATCATGCCCATACGGAGCCGTAAATTGTGGAAGAACCTGGGCCAAGAGCAGAAAGAAAAAAGAAAGGAAAGCCGAAGAAAATGGTATACTAAACCGGAAAATAAAGAAAGGAAGGCCATGCTGAACGAGAAATGGTGTCTGGAAAACAAAGAGAAACGCCGAGAAAGCTGTCGAAGGTACAGAGAGAAAAACAGAGTGATGTTGAATCTAAAGACCAAAAAATGGAGGCAAGAAAATAGAGAGACATTCAATGCAAAGACGAGAGCAAGGTATCACGCCAGAAAGATTGAACGGCAAGTTATTGGAAAAGAAACGGAGATGAATGCAGATCATGTGAAGGTCGTCATGGCTTGCTGGCCGCACGTGGCAGAAAGAGAAGCCCTTCAGTACTTGTACCCCAAGGAAGTTCAATATTTGTGGATCAAGGGTCAAATAGGAAACAATCAATAAAAGTTGTTTCTTAAAAGTATTACTGTGTGTGTTTTTATTGAACCAACGCATAAAGCCATGACACTTGGCCATGCTACAATGAAAGCGACTATTTAAATGACAACTGCAATGAACGGGTGAAAAGTAATACTCTGGTAAATATTCAAATTTCGGACAACCAAAATCTTCTAACTTTACATAAGGTATCTGTAATTGAAAAGTTTGTTTTCTAATGTTCCTCCCTTGTACGCTACCACACACTGTTTTGGGGTCTTGAATCGCTCCCACAGCACAAAGACGTCTTTGGCCACGGACGCTTGTAATCCAAAACTCCCTCTTTGAAATTCCACTGGTCTTGGTTTAAACGTTAACCCAGTTACCATGTCCCGAACATAAATGACAGTTCTTTACTCTTTTTTGCTAAGGGTAGAGCATTTATGGTTGTGCGAATGATGGTGGAATCCCATGTAAAGGCACGTCTTGTCACACCACCCCATTTCTCGTACGATAAAATCATCCTCCAAAAGAAATCCGTTCAAATCAATACAAAGGCAAATTTCATTCATTCTAGCAAAAGAAAATAATAATAAAATTGTTACTTGTAAGACTCAAACAAACGAGTCATTTCTATTTCCGCTTCAAGGTCATGTCACTGGTTCCCACAATAGCGACATTATTTTGTAAAGAGGGAGAAGCTACATCGAATTCATGCATTCCACCGACTTGAACAAATTCTCGGTCGATATAACTCCACCACAACCATTCCTCATAAATTAAGTCATAAAAATAGAGGGGTTTGTTCATGAATTTCACCAGCTGCACCGTCCATTTGCATAGACCGCGTTGCACCCTGGGATCGGTCGTTTTGACCATGTGCTCTCTGTAACCCAGAACCAGAACCAACCAAGCATCGTGAACGATATGCCAATGAGTCTTGACATTGTTAATAAGGATCGGTGAGGATAGAACTTTGCAGGTTTGTAAAGCAACAGCATGAACATCCTTGCTAGCTTTTTCCAATTCGGTCGGGTGAAGGGGCGTGATTTTCTTGGCCCAAATAGAACAAGGCGATATTTTGCTCACACATTGATGATTATGTTTGGCACACAAGGCTTGTACAACGGCATTGGTTCCTTTCGGCGCTCCGATAAAAATGGTCAACATTGTCTGTAATAAAAACAAAAGAGAGAATTAAATGTCTTTGCCATCCTCTTTTAACATCCACAAACACTCTACTTTTTCATCGGCGTAGTCTGGTTTGGCATGTAGTCTGTGATTAATGTCACGCAAAATGTAAGCCACGCGTCTGCAACTTCCGTCACAGTTCGGGTTCCACTGTAGACCTTCCCCTTCCTCATAGGCTTTGTTCTTTTCGTTCATACAATGTCTGCACAATAACATGTCCATCAATCTGTCGCGTCGTGTTTGCCAAATGACACCCTGCCTGTTCACTTGTTCTAGCGAGGGTGAGTAACAGATTTGTCTGCGAAGCCACCACGACATCTGACAAGCCCTCACTCGCGCACAATCCTCAAAGCCAATGTCATTGTTTCCATAATAGTGATCTCGACGCAGGGGTAACCCTTGACCTGAGGGCAACACTGTGGTTCCGATGCACTGCTGTTTGGGGTCAAACCCACTTATGTCAACAAAGGGAATATCGAGTGACTTCAGCAAGGACTTGAGTGGACCGTCATCGCACACGCCCATAGCGGGTTTGTCCTTGGTCAACACGCTTTGCAGCCAAGCCGTCACATCTGCCTCGAGGTGTTCAAATGGGTGAAGCTGATCGTTACTAATTTCATAGTGCATACCATGTTCATTGACAGTCTTTTGTTTCATTAAGGCTATGTCTGTTTTGGTTAAATGAACAGGGCTGGGAAGGTTGTAGGAAAATAGGGCGTGGCTGTCCCCATGCAAATTACATAACCCTATTTCTCTATAAAAATAGGTCTTGTTTTGTAAACCAATATTGTGGGAAAACATAAGGGCGCCAATATCATCTAAAGCCACGCCCTCACCTGTTATCTGCTCTTGTTGATTCGACCTTGCTTCTGTCTGAGTGTGAGTGAAAATGAGAGTGGAGTGGTTTCTTATATACGTATGATTGCACCATCAAAAGTAAAATGTAGGAATGTGGGTGTGGGTGTGAAAGAATGTGGATTGCACCATCATGAGTAAAGAATGTTTCCTTATTTGGTCAAAGAATGTAGGAATGTGAGTGTGGGTGTGAAAGAATGTGGGTGTGGGTGTGAAAGAATGTGGATTGCACCATCAGAATGAAACAAGTATTGCCCCATCAGGATGAAACAATAGAAATGACGTCAAAGATGATGGACAGGGGGTGGTCTTAAGAGTGGCATAAAAAAGAAGAGAGTTTATTCAGTGGTCATTCTCTCAAGACAACCAGCCATGAATGGCGACAAGAGCAAGAAGAGGACAAAGTCCCAGAAGTCCAAAGAACCCAAGAAAGCCAAGACGGATGATGAGATGGTGACCGTTTAAGTGGTAGAATCGTCAGAGTTGAATGAAGCCATGAATCACATTTTTTCCTTGCCGGACGATGGAAAGAGTACAGGGTAGAAATTGTTGCAGTCCATGGAAAAAATTAGCGCCCTGGAGGAGTCCTTGAACGAAGAGGCTAAGAAGCAAGCACGTTTCCGCCAACTCATGGACTTTTACAAAAAACAGCCCATGCAAGTAGACATGATTGTGACCAGGATTGGTTGGAAAAGACCTACGGTCATCTGGTTCCACCAAACAGTACAGCCCCAGAACTGGCTACACCACCACCACCTAACTCACCATTAGATCCTTATTCTCCCGTGTCTCTCCCACCTGTCACCCAAATGGATCCCACTGAAAAGTTGATACAAGAAATCACCCAAGAAGAGAGAGACAAGGCGAATGTGGATTTTATCAATCAGGGTATCCTGCCATGTTCATTCCATCCTTGTGAGAACGTGAAATGTTTGAATCCCGATGTAGAATTTGGTCCTTTGTACTACCGATGTCCCTATCCCAATTGCTGTGTTTGGTTTACCAGCGAGACTTATGGGATAGTGCTCGATGTGTTGCAGAACATCACCAACAAGAAGCTGCTTCCCCTGTTTCAAGACGCCAGCTTGAGGTGCGAGTGTAACCTGGTGCCTAACATGGAGCTGAGCAAGTGAAAAGAACCATAACAAGGTGTTTCTTTGCTGTGGCAATAAAAACAAGGACGAGAAATGTGGTTACTTTCAGTTTACTCACTGGAGCCCCTGGAAACCCAAGAGACCCAGTCAACCCACCATGGACGATTTTATGTACCGTCCACCACAGCAGCAAAACCAAACTAAATACAGACCACCCCCAAACAGATTGAATGGATGGCCGAGACCAATACCTTTCTCGCCAGAAAGAGAGGAACCCATCACAACGCGAAAACCTTTGAAGGAAGATTACTTTAGAAAGAATTACAACAGCAGCAATCATATGGTGCCTTGGAGTGTACATGGAAAACCACATTTGTTTGGGAGTTACAAAAAAGAACCCAGTAATCACATGGTACCCGTAATAGATGATGATGATGATGATGATGATGATGATGTAGGCTGGTTTGGAAGCGAAAGGTAGTTTCCAGAGCCCCCTCCTGAACCAGGAACCAAGGAGTACGAGGACTGGCAAGAAAGAAAAAGAGCCAGGAAGAGCCAGAAAAAGATAAGAGAAGATCCCTGGATACAGGAGTTTAAGAAAGAAACAGACAAGCAAGAACGAGAGAGAAAGGAGATTTTTGCAAGAATGTGATGCCAATAATGCTCGAAGAAGGGAGTGTGGCGTGGCACCCTATTCGTACGAAACATTTAAATATGGAACTGGTATCTTTTGAGTGACTTTTTTTTTGCACCCTTTGTAATTTGATGGTAAATATTTTTACCGTTTAAAAATTGTTATGGTAAATTTTTTTGCACTTTCAAATTTGTTATGGTAAAATTTTTGCACTTTGTAAATAGTTTTTTCTCATTAAACAACAGTTTGATCATCATGTGGTTGTATGTGGAGTGGTTTTGTCTGAAGGCTTTATGTCAGGTGTTATCTCACCAACCCCTTCCCATGACCAAAGCAAAGTTTTATCCTTTCAAAGTGGACCCCTCATTTTCAAGGACTGTCTCTGTTTTTTGCCGATGCCATTGGCCTCGTTTCCAGCCGCCTTCAATCTAACGGAACTGAAAAAAGGTTTCTTTCCTCATGAGTTCAATTTACCCCAGCACCAGTCCTATGTGGGTCAAATTCCTGCCCTTGAATTTTTCAACCCGGATGGCATGAGTGAGAAAAAGAAAAAAGAATTGCAAGAATGGCATGCAGAGCAAGTGAGACGTGGAACACCCTATGATTTTGCCAAAGAAATGGAAGATTATTGTAAATCAGACGTGGCATTGTTACAAGCAGGTTGCGAAGCTTTCACCCAAGAATTTGAACGACACACCGACTTCAACCCCTTTGCCAAATGTGTCACCATTGCTTGTGCGTGCAACCTGTACTGGAGAAAACACTGCCTCAAAGAAGACACCATTGCCGTGGAACCTCTCAAGGGATGGCGCGGGACCAATGTCAATCAATCTGTCAAAGCTTTGCAGTGGTTGTATTTTAAAGAACAAGGCCTTGTCAAGCAGGATGCCAGTCCAGACAGAATTAAGCATGTGAGAAACGGGGGCGAGCAAAGTGTGACGACTGTGGCGGACAGCTACTTTGTGGACGGCTATGATCTCCAGTCCAATACCGTTTACGAATTTCATGGCTGTTTCTGGCACGGGTGTCCTCGCTGCCATCCCAGAAATCGTCACGCAAGACATGCCGCCAATCCAGATAGAACCCATAGGACCCACAGGAAGAGAGGCGGGTCATTCGGGTTAACAACCCAAATCATTTTAAACGAGACACTACTAACAAGACTATCAAATTGGTCAACCAGGCCAAACAGTATGGCCTCGTTTTTCACAAGCACGTGATACATCCAGACAAAAAAATTAGTTATCCTTTTGGATACAGAGTATGGTCAGAGTGCGATCAAGAAAATGTGGACATTTTATTAGATTTGTAAATAAAAAAATTTTCTTCTTGACAGGATTCGAACCAGTGAGCCGAGTCCACCCGACTGATCAGACTCTGTTCCAACCAAGCAAGAACTTTCTACCCAGTACCGGCGATGGCCACCGAACCACCGCTTTCCTGGCCATTTTTTTGATGACTTTTTAAACTTTTTAAAAAGAAATGGACGTGACGTCAATAGGAGGTCACACACGTCCCGATTGTAACGCTAGGTATGACGTCAGAATAAAATTGGTTGAGACGGGACTTTCGTGTGTCTTACATGATGGGGGAATGTTGGGAGACTTTTCGTGAGGGTTTTACATGTAGTACTAACCCTAATGAAATCCTGATTGGTGGAGAGTTAATTAATTCAGTCACGTGTTTGAATACTCGATTCTGATTGGTCGTGCCACCAAGTAGTGACTACAACTACTCTCATCACCAAAATGTCTCACAGCAATAGTATGTTATGGTATCTTAACCATGGATTTCCGCTGCACGCACTTCTAACCACCACATTAATACTTTTACACTGTAGCACTGCGAAATAAAGATGAGCTGGACAGAAGGCCTGGAGATCAAAAGGAAGAAGGCAGTAGCATCAGAGAAGAAAGTTGTAGTTAAGACAGTGAACAAGGAGATAAGGATTCTGAGAATTCAAACAAAGAAGGGGCGGGGAACAGAGGGGATGAAAGCAGCTGTAGCAAGAACAGAGGAGTTTCCAAGAAAGATAGAAGGGTGGAAAAAGGAGGGGAGGAAGGAAGCTGAAGCTGAAGCGAGAGTGGAGAGACTTCCGAGAACGATTAAAGGGTGGACAAAAGAGGACAGGAAGGTTTCCCATGTCTGCCATCAACATCATTCATCTTCAGCTTTAAAATAACATGTAAAACTCTACATATCAGCTTCTGTATCGGTATGTTGAGTAATTTTTATTATTTTCAATATGATTACTTTTCCCTTAGTGCCTCAAATTGCATTTCATTCCTAATTTGCAGGGCAAATGTATTTAGATTTAATATTTGTGAATAAAAGTGTTGTTGTTTTATTCTGCAAAATATTTCAAGATTGACCTGGCTGAAAAGAGATGGCAGCTGCAAGTGGCAGAGGCAGCCATAGCAGTAAACTAAGGAACTCGGGTTGCAAAAGAACTATTTCTGACCTGAAACAGTACAAAAGAGAGTGGTGTAAAACTGTGAACGTATCTTCCTGGAAAATAATATATTTCAGTCGTGGCTTGGTGTGAAACTTCGAGCAGGATATGAAGGTTCTAGTGACAGTGATTTTGCGGCACATTTGTTATCTCTTGAATATCGGAGAAGGTAAGTTTTCCCTTTCTTTACCTCAAGATTTAACCGTGAAAGATTTTTTTTTCAATGAGTTATACTTTTGATAGTACCTTGCAGCTTATTTTTGAAGGGAAATTTAGGACACTACGTCAGCTGAATGAAGTGCTAGTTGCAGTTGTTGTAATACTGTTGAACAATTTGAAGAGTTTTAGAAAAGAAACTTTCCAGTTTTTTTGGCAATTTCTCCTATTCAGAAGATATTGAAAATCCATTTTGACCTTGCCACTTACAGCACCTGTAGAAGTTACCCTCCCTTTTTAACTTCATCTGAAAAGCAGTGTTTTATTGTGTAAAGACACTGTATTTAATTTTATCAAAGGGATAGTATCATAAGTTGCACACACTCTTTTACAGCATTTTATCTCTTCAGCTTCCGCTAACTAATGGAAAGAAAATAGACAATTTGAATGGCATGATATCATTGAATACAATTATTTCTTTATGAGAGTTCGTGTTCCTTTTCAGTGGGGTGGGGGGGAGTGGGTTCTTTTTCATAAGGACATCGGATTTTTGAAGCCTACTGTTGCCATGGTGTCAGTATTTTGGTCCCCACAGAACAATTGTTATCTATAAAATGGACAACCTAGAAAATCGCCAATAGAAGCAGGTTTACTTAATTGTTTTATTTTTAGGTACTAAATATAGCTAATTTTTTGAATTCGCAGTGGGTGACATTTTGATCTCCTATTACTTGTGCAAAGTCCAGTACATGTATGTACTGTTACCCAGTGATTTTACTGTGTTTGTACAGTGCTATCATTGTCAGTGTTCAGGTCGCATGCTAGATTTATGGTGTTATATTTTCCTTAATGGCTCAATAGAATTTACGTGATCGCCCTTCTCATGACTACATGGCAGCCTTACACAAAGGTCACAATTCCAATGTTTATGAGGAAATTACAAGAGTTCCAAAAAAATGGCCAAGAAAAGTTAACAATTTAACATATTCACCACATGGGATTTCTGTGTTATTCAGACTGAATTGGTTTCATGGCAGTTCAAAGGATGAATATATCCACTGCGTCATGAAGTTTCCTTGACTTTTGCTGTTTAAGCCCATCAGAAGTTAAGTACAGACGACTTTTTCAAATTGGAAACTTTTTATCCAGTGGAAGTAGCAAATAGGTTTTGTAGCTACTTCTCTAGTATTGGTCCCAACCTCGCAAAGAAGATACAGCCTCCTCCTTGTTCACAGAAAGATTTTCTATCTGGATCATTTCGAGAGTCAATCTTTTTTAGCCCAACAACAGAGGATGAAATTATTACCATTGCTCAATCTTTTGCTTCCGGGAAAGCGGCTGGATACGATAATAGTCCAATGTCTATAATTAAGGAATCCATTCAAATCATTTCGGGACCTCTGGCTCACATTATGAATTTATCGATCGCTCATGGCGTTGTACCAGATCAAATGAAAATAGCTCGTGTGGTACCACTGTTTAAAGCTGATGACCAGTCACTATTCACCAACTATAGGCCTGTCTCGGTTCTACCAAGCTTTTCAAAATTTCTAGAGAGAATCATCTATAATCGCTTGTATGATTATTTAACTAATTTACATATTCTCTGTGATAACCAGTTCGGCTTCAGGAAAAACCACTCTACGACGCTTGCCTTGATTGATTTGCATGAAAAAATTTCATCTGCTATTGATCATGGTGAATTAGCGGTTGGTGTCTTTTTAGATCTCTCGAAAGCTTTCGATACAGTCAATCATTCCATCTTATTTGATAAACTTGAACACTATGGTATACGTGGCTTGGCTCTCAAATGGATTAAGAGCTATTTTTCCAACAGACTTCAATTTGTAGAATACAATGGTTATGTTTCGTATCGTGCTAATATCATGTGTGGCGTTCCCCAAGGTTCAATACTAGGGCCTTTGTTTTTTCTGCTCTACATCAACGATATAATCAACACGTCAACAATATTACAACTGATATTATTTGCTGATGATACAAACGTATTTGTGTCTCACAAGGATAAAGACTGCCTTACTAATATACTGAACGCTGAGCTAAATAAGTTGTCAATATGGTTTAGAGCTAACAGGCTTTCATTAAACTTGAAAAAAACCAAATTCATTGTATTTAAACCATCTCAAAAGCGTACAAATCAAACTATTCAACTTTTAATTAATAATCAAAAAATTGATCAAGTAAAAGAAACAGTTTTCTTGGGAGTAATCATGGATGAAAATTTAAATTGGAAATCTGAAATCTCACATGTCGCCAATAAAGTTTCTAAATGCACAGGAATTATTCGTAAATCCAGTTTCTATTTATCCACGAAAACCTTACGAACACTATATTTTTCTCTAGTCTATCCATACCTTTTTTATTGCAACTTAGTTTGGGCCTCTACTTACAGAACTAACCTTATTCGTCTTGAGATTTTACAGAAACGAGTGATCAGAACTATAGCTAAAACAACTTTCGATGCACATACTGATCCAATCTTTCAAAATCTTGGTATCTTAAAATTTCATGATATATACTTAATACAACTAGGCTTATTCATGTACTCCTATCAAAACCATACTCTACCTTTAAAATTTCATTGTAAATTTACCTTACAAAGTCAAATTCATTCGTATAATACAAGAAACTCGTGTAAATTTCGTCTGCCTTTCTGTCGTACTCGAACCAAACAATTTTCCGTTTTTTATCAAGGACCTAAATTTTACAACACCTTAAACACCAACATCATCAACGCTTCCTCACCTTTCTCCTTTAAAAGAGCACTTAAGGCATTTATTTGTAATAATTATTAGTATACTCCAACAAAAATTTTGGGAAAAAGCCTTTTAATATTCAACATTTGTAAACTTCCGTAATATTGATTAGTTTAACTTTTCACCTCATATTATGTTGTATCCGTCGCCGTAATTTTTATACTATCTTCGAAAAATTGTAATTGAGGAGGCCTAATTAACATAAGCTCTATAGTTTCTTTTAGGCCTCCTCGCCATCTCTTCCTACATTTTTTTTTTTTTTGGCATCTTTTTGTAATTATCGTAATCGTGTGGCAAATAAATAAAATACCTAAATACCTAGCAGCTGAAGGTCTCCACTGAACTGTTAATCACTGCAATTGACGTATATTATCATTTTACCTCCTAAAAACATCTTATTGCGCAGTATAACGCAAAATAGTGACCAAGTGTCCACAAAGGGGACTGGAAACCAGGATCTATTTAGTACTTAGAAATAATTTTGTTTTTGGGAGGGAGAGAAAGAAATCCCATAGACAGAATTGTGGCCAAAAATTAAAGTGTGGATTTCTTTGAAACAATGTATACAGTTTCGTCCAGTCCTCAAAATTTCAATCCAGGTCGTGTAGCTGGTTTTTAAGAACCATGCCCTAGGGGGGAAGGGTCCTCTGGAATTCTTTATGATATGTTGTTATTTCATCTCTATATCAGGAGAAGGCGAATTTGAGTCCCGCAACTGCCAGCAACCACACAAGCAGTCTGCTATACCTACTCAAGTATTACCACTGGGAAAGAAGGCCAAAATTCGAAGGTTTTCGCATTATCTCCCAGCTCAGAACAGCTACTGTACTTCAAAACCAGGGGGTGGTGGAGAGGCCAACTGTGGTTGAAGATGTCAGAGCCCAAAACAAGTGGTTGGATTGGTTAAGTGTGTTAGTATAAAGAAGAACAGACGACAAAGCAAAACAGAAAAAGAAAACAAATAAATATATAAATAAATGACAGGAATCCCCTAGTTGATGAGAGTAAGAAAATAGTTGTGTTACCAAGGCTAGGCACCTGAACCGTATTTTTCCAAGTGGAAAGCATTGGAAAGTTTTAAAAACAACACAAAGATCTCAACATTTTCACATCAGCCTCTTAATGATTAATGACCTACTGCCTTGTTAAAACATCACGTCTCCCTACTTTCTCTTAAGGGATGAAGTCCTCCAAGCTAGGGAAGCCCAGTTGAGCCGGTTTGAACTGGCCAAAGACAAACAACAACGCTCTCAGGAGGCCTGTGACCTGCTGCTTTTGTCACTGTACACCCACCTCCCACCCAGCAGGGGCCTAGAAGTCAGGACGATGGAGTTAGTTCTGGAAAGTGTGCTTAAAGTGGTGTTTCAGCAAGTGCACTATCGTGACAGAAATTTCGCCCTGATCAAGAAAGAAGGCGGCATAATGCTACAGTTGGGAAGGTTCACAAAAGCCAAACACACTGGGCATGAAACTGTTTCAGCAACTGACTGGAAACAAGGTCACAAGCTGTGGACTAAGGCCCTTTTTTGTAACCTGGGCATATTCCCAGAGGTAGGTCACCATCACTATTGAACTGCACGTAACCATAAAAGTCGTAGGTCCCCGAGACCAGTCACTAACATCACCAGACTGAGCCCAGGAGGGGACAGCCGGGAGATTTCACTGTTCCCCATAAATTTTGAAATCTGTTGCTTCACAACACTATAGCCACATTGCTGATAACCGTCTGTTTTGTCCTCTGTTTCAAGCGAATGTGACGACCACATGAAAGACAGAGTTGCCGCCTGCCTCCAACACTCCTGACAGCAAGCCCAGATGACCTATGACTGACCCACAGCAAACGAGAGGAAGACCATGGCACTAGAGTTGGCAAAGCCGAAGGCCGAAGAAGGGCCAGCTGACCTAGAGCCTGTCAGGCCCTGCCACGGGCCAGCCACCGCCGAACTGGAGATCAGCATTGGACTTAGAGGGACTCATGGTTGAGGACAGCACTGTACAGAAGACTACAGTTTTCCTGAGGTGTTCAAGCATTCGTGTCAGAAGACAAGGTCCTTCTTCTGTGGTACAGGAACACTCGAGGTGGCATCTATACCCCAGACTTAGATGGTGGCCAGTGGGTGGAGTCAAAAGAGTTGCTAGTCACTGTGAAGTTGGCTTCTGCAAAAGGGCATGCTTAAGGCCAGCGACTGCTGAGTAGCTGACGCACGATACAAAAAGCAGTCATGGACAGGAAGCAGGAATCTTAACCTGCAAGCCCGAAAAGGAAAACCAAAAGAAAATAAGAACTCTAAGATCAGTCTTTTTTCTAACACAGAAACGAATGATAAGGGAGGAAAATGATATTTCTCAAGGAGATTTTTGGTAGCTAGAGGTTGTCGGCCACTGATATCAATTGTCACCTGAGCAGGTTTCCGCTGTAAGAGTGTGTAAAATAAAAGTGTGAAAGGAATGTCCTGTGTCAGTCAGTCAACTGTCGTTCGGGGAGAATGACCACCATGACCAAGAGAAATGCCTCTTGGGATAATTTCCCATACATGTACTTGCCCTGGGTTAATAGAATCAACCCAGTTCCAAAACATTTTCACCTGAATTTCATTTTAACCCGTCACAAAAACAACTCTCTCGACAGGCAACCAACAAGAGAAGGAAACCAAAAGTAACTCCTGCTAGATTACACCACAGTAAACTAAGCTTAAAACTTCACGCTCTATAAAAGAGGAACACTTACTTGCAGAGTCAATCCTCTCACTCTTCTTCTGCTCCTGTGTTACCTCGTGAGACTACAGCTGTCACCATCAAACAACTTCGCAAGGATCCAACCTTATCTGCCCACTTCTCTGAAGAAATCGAGTAGCTGGGATCAACCTCGAGTGAGTCTGAGAATGAGGGCGAGGGACAAAAAAGTTCTCATGGCGCACAAGGTAAGGATAATCTAAAGTCTGGGAAAACTGCTAAATTGACGAGCTGAGTGCCTGCCCCACAGCGTTGGCCTTAATGATCACCTTGCAGTGCTTATGTATCTTGTCACCCAGCTTTCCTGCGCTACAGTTCAAGGATTTCATGCTGCCATTCTGTTGAAGATAGAGAGTGGTCAGGTGCGTTGGAGCGATAGCTTGACTTATTTGGAATCTAGTTTGCTTCAACCTAAACCTTCAAGAAACAACAGTTCCTCGCGACTATCTTAAGCGGTTTCGTTTTCTCATGACTTTCAACATGGCAAGTGTCTGCACACTACAGATCATTACTGCAAAACTTACAATAAGAGAAAGTGGTTGCAGCATATTTGTGCTTTGTCATATTAAGCGCCTGGATGTGTCAAAAAGCTTCAAGAGTTCCTGAAATTCTGTGTCCAAGTTAGCCACAATAGCTACAAGATCATAACATTTGAAAGGCTGCTGCATGCTCACACTTCTTTATCCTCGGCATATGTGGGAATGATCTGATCTGACAATTGTCTTTTTGATACTGTGTGCTCTCATTCAAGCCAACTATTTGCGAATATGTCGAGACATGACTGACACATCTGAATATCACAGTGCCCACAATAACCTGTTCCAACACTATGTGAAATCCACGAGCTAAAAATATCCTGCTTCTTTACCTGGCCGTGTCTACATACATTGTAGGAAGAACTATATCAATTGATTTATCAGAAGTATGTGCTTGTGCTCTGGTGGTAAAACATTTATAGCTTCATTGTATAAATAAAGTCCAAAAAAAGAAGAGTTGTAGGCAAATTTATAGAAATAATATGCAATGTTAGACACTCCTATGACCAATATATTATTCAATATTCAACACGTAACTATTCAATGTGTATAGATGAATCAGTTCCATGGTAATGTGATCGAAGTAATCCACATATGTGACCCATCAAGACAATATTTTCAGTTTGCAGGAAAAAACGTGATCATTAAACAAGTGATCTTTAATTAAAAAACTTTTTATCACAACAAGTGTTTTTAGAAAAGTCCTCTCTATATTAGACGTATCAGTTTTTACAACAGCAACTTCCTGAAGTAGTGGAAAAATCTTTTTTTTTTAAAGAAAAAAGAGGATCAAATCCCAGATCAAAACAAGGAATTTCCTGTGGCCAACACACAGTTAAATTAACCTAATAACAGTCTGGGCCCATTTCCTCAAATGCTGGTTAAATTTAACCCATGATTAAGTCAACTTACTCACTCGCATTATTCTTTTAAATGTTAATTGAGATTGCAGTGCCCCATATACATAATACCACAGATTGCCTTGCCCATGTCAACAAGCAATGTGAGTACATATTTGTGAAATGTGTAGTTTCTTTCCATTGACTTTTTATTGCAAGAATTTGCCTTTGCACAAAATGTATATTGGTTTGTGCCTAGGCACCCTCAGTAGCATCAACATGTTGGAATAGTTTGTATTGTACTGTGAATATTTCCATTCCCTGAAATCTAAGCTTAACTTTACTCAAATGCCCCTTCTGGCATCGGGAAAGAATATATAATGGTCACAAGACAAAAAATATTGGTCATCATAAAAGAAAAAAAAAGTAAGTATGATATTATTGCAATAGATGCTTTTTTTTGAAGAAAAAGAAATTATCATAATGCCCATCATAACAACCACAGTTGCCTGTAGAGCTACATGCCACATAACTCACAGGTTTCTAATAACATGACAAAGTGGAGAACTGTAAAGAAAATTGATGTTTCATCATTTTACTTTAAAGAAGACCAGAAACAATATAATACACCTAAACATGCAACAGTGAAATATCACAGGTCGGCAAAGTTGACCGTTTTAGTCAACACAATTTTTTAAAATCCCCTTGGTGACCAAAATCATTTGGTAGCTGAAACCAGTTATTGAGATTGCAGGAACAGACGGTGTACCCTGTGTTGTTAGCCAGCCTGCACCTTATCAGAATAGCCCCTATCAAAGTTCCAATGTTCACACAATGTTGAAAGAAGAGAATAATGGCAAAAGCTGGTGCAGAAAAATAGAGGGAAGAAACGTCCAAGTGACATACATATACAAGATACGAAAACCCTTCGTCGACCTATGGTAAAAATTTCCATCCGTTATGAGTGAGGTCATCCCCGCATCAGTTCCGCCACGTCAAACATTATCAAAATTTTCTGTTTAAATACGTCTTAAAAATTTTTACATGGAAAAAAAAATGGGGCGAAAAACTTGCAAACCAAAGATACAAGGTCCGTGATTCCAAGCTTACTTGAAAAGAAAGTTATTTTCGCGTGAGTAAAAACCAAATGCTAGCTACGAATATTAGGAACCTTCTTGCTTTCTTTTTGTCTTCAATTTGCTAATTTATCCTTCCTAAAATAACTTGGGTTTTTCAGAAGCAAATTTTCCGGTATTTGAATGTCATTTCACATTGCTTTACATACAACAGACGCTCAGTTGATGGTACAGTGACCTCATCACCAAAATGTCTCACAGCAATAGTATGTTATGGTATCTTAACCATGGTGTTCTGCTGCACGCATTTCTAACCACCACATTAATACTTTTACACTTAAGCACTGCGAAATAAAGAAGGCCTGGAGATCAACAGGAAGAAGGCAGTAGCACCAAAGAAGAAAGTTGTAGTTAAGACAGTGAACGAGGAGATGAGGATTCTGCAAGTTCAAATGAAGAAAAGGCGGGGAACAGAGGGGAGGAGGGAAGCTGTAGCGAGAGTGGAGAGACTTCCGAGGATGATTAAAGGGTGGCAAAAGAAGACAGGAAGGATTTCCCATGTCTGCCATCAACATCATTCATCTTCAGCTTAAAATAACATCTAAAACTCCACATATCAGCTTCTGTATTGTTATGTCGACTAATTTTTATTATTTTCAATATGATTACTTTTCCCTGCCTCAAACAGCATTTCATTGCTAATTTCCAAGGCAACTGTATTTAGATTTAATATTTGTGAATAAAAGTGTTGTTGTTTTATTCTACAGAATATTTCAAGATTTACCTGGTTGAAAAGAGATGGCAGCTGCAAGTGGCAGAGGCAGCCATGGCAGTAAACTAAGGAACTCGGGTTGCAAAAGAACTATTTCTGACCTGAAACAGTACAAAAGAGAGTGGTGTAAAACTGTGAACATATTTTCCTAGAAAATAGGGCCTTTAAGCACCTGTAGAAGTTACTCTCCCTTTTTGTCTTCATCTGAAAAGCATTATTTCATTGTGTAAAGAGACTGTATTTAATTTTATCAAAGGGATAGTCTCATAAGTTGCACACACTCTTTTACAGCATTTTATCTCTTCAGCTTCCGCTAACTAATGGAAAGAAAATAGACAATTTGAATGGAATGATGTCATTGAATACAATTATTTCTTTATGAGAGTTCGTGTTCCTTTTCAGTGGGGTGGGGGGGGAGTGGGTTCTTTTTCATAAGGACATCAGATTTTTGAAGCCTACTGTTTGCCATGGTGTCAGTATTTTGGTCCCCACAGAACAATTGTTATCTATAAAATGGACAACCTAGAAAATCGCCAATACAAGCAGGTTTCCTTAATTGCTTTGTTTTTAGGTACTAAATATAGCTAATTTTCTGAATTCGCAGTGGGTAACATTTTGATCTATTACTTGTGCAAAGTCCAGTACATGTATGTACTGTTACCCAGTGATTTAACTGTGTTTTTACAGTGCTATCATTGTCAGTGTTCAGGTCGCATACTAGATTTATGGTGTTATACTTTCCTTAATGGCTCAATACAATTTATGTGATCACCCTTCTCATGACTACACGGTAGCCTTACACAAAGGTCACAATTGCAATGACCATGAGGACATTACAAGAGTTAAA